AAATGAAAAGTAAGTCTGATTTGTCTTCTACACATCTGGCGTTTTGTTGATTAACTCTAGAGACCCTTCCACTCAACTATAACTTTATTCGTACCGTCCTTTAGAATTGTATTTATTTCATATTATTTCGATTATTTTTATTATTCCAATGGCGGACATGTTTTTATTTTTCGATGATCAATTGCATTGACGTCCTTTCTACGCCACTATTTTAGATCAGCTGGTTGTAATTCCTGTCCCTAACTTATCCTACACCCTTTTTTTAAATGGGGAATAAACCTAGGCGATATAGGGCGACATACATGTAGGGGAATCTAAGATGATCTTAGGCAATCCGCAAACAAAATGATCCGACAGGTAAAACAATGAGGAATACTAAAAGTCAGCATGCATAGTTGAGATAATTGATGCAAAAAGGCACAAGAATTTAGAAAATCTGTAGTTCCCAGAAGTCTCTCAGCCACACGGTTTGAAGTTGGTGATAACTTCTTTATCCAAGGGGCTATAGTTTTATTTTTTCATATATTTCCATGAATACCATTGCCGGATCAGCATCGAGCCGATTCTGCCCGACAAATTAAAGGGTCATTTCGATTAGCAAACTATGGTACCATTTTAAAGGGTCAATTTAACTCTTATCTTTAGGGGCTTTTTTGGCCTCTTTCTTTTTAGCTAAATAGATCCCAAAAATGGGCTAAAATGACTTAAGGTGGTTCCCTAGAGTTTTTGGTAGTTCCAATAGTAATCTAATTATACCGTAGATCCTCTATTTAGCCCCCCCTCCCCACCCCCCTCAAATAACCTCCCCTTCTCTTATAAGCCCCCCTCTTTTTAAAGGAAGAAGTTTGTTAAGCCCTCTCTATTTTTAGCCCCATCCCCTCCCCCTTCACAACCAAAGAATCACGTGTACTGATTAAAGATGATTTATTAAAGTCTTGATAGGGTAGTTCACTTAGATAATCACAACAGTTTGTTCTTCATTTTCGGTTGCATGACCTCCAACTTCATATGCTTAAGTTTTTCTACTCTGTGATCTAGTTYATTGTGAAGAATTATTAAAGTCTTTTTGTTAGTTGAAATTGCAGTGTAGCTCCACGGTACCACTAGTCCATCCTCGAGAAACCTTGCTATTAACAATAATCGTAAAATATACTTGAGAGACTAACACAGGCGAATCAAATAATAAAAATGCCATGTACATCACTACAGATTCTACAAGAAGGTCAATAATAATGCTTCCGTTTAATCCTCAGTTACAATCATATTACATCCTGACAGCATACAACTTACTGCGTTTCAACTAAATCAATAAGCCCCCACTATCTCTAAAATAAGATGTCAGTTAGAGTGGTAGTACATGTATATGACATGAAGTAGATGGTATGGTGACTGTAATGGTCCAGT